GGAATGCGCTCTTATAATAAGCATTAAAATAAATAATGCCAAAAAGGGGCATTTTCAATGCCTCACTGCTTCTTAATTAGCACGGGCACCCCCTTTTTTATTTCAAAATTGAAGTTATCATATGACAAATATCCAGTGGAGAAAGTTTGAACAAAAATTTATTGTCACTTTTATTTCAGACGAATTACCTTAATCTAAACAAAGTGATTGCTTGAGAAGGCGGGAAAATTTGTGGCGCGATGTTCTCTGTTTGAATTGAAGGGAACAAGTGAAAAGCGAGCGAGGCAGAATTTTCTTTCAAAATGTTCCTTATGTACGTTGCGTTGAAAATTATATGCCTCGTACAAATGAAATGAAACAAGAGTTCACTTGTTTACGCGGCCACTCTTTTCTTTTCAATGTTGACTTCAAGAGTCGAGTTCTTCTGATACAAATCGACTTTGTTCGTCTCTACATGTAAGCTAAGTTAAGCTTATGTAACAGAATTTTTTCGTAGAAAATAGTAAGAACAAATATTTCCAACTACCGTTTGAATTGAGAATGGAGAGGTGAAGCCGCATTTGATTCTCTTCAATTATTTCAGAGCAAGCGACAAAAGACGAGGCATTGCGGCTGAAAAAGCAGAGGCACAGAAAAGACTGTTAACACAACCGAAAAGGAGCGAATACGCCATGTCGGTAAGGGCTAGTTTGAATTTTAACTTTACATTTGTGTAAAAGGTGAACAACCAATATTTCAGGGCTAATTATCTTTCGTTTTCTGCTCTCTTAGGAACTGGAAAAAAAGAAGATGATTTTAAATAAACGCCGAACGGAACTTGTAAGTTTGAAGCTAATGTGATATTGTAATTCTCTACGCAGGTGTACAAATGGGTACCGGCGAATTTAATGCTGGGGGTAACCCTGCGATGAACTAGCATCCGATCCAGGGGGGAGGGAGAAATATTCCTAGTCGCTTCATGCTACAGAAACCAGAATAAGCTCCGGCCTGATGGGCCAGTTGGCTCGTATGCAGACTTTACCTACCTTCACCTTTCTTTGCAGAAAGACAGGCTGACTCATATAAGAAGAGAAGCAGCAAGAGAAGAATTTGAGAACATGAACATGGTGAATAGAGATAAATACTTTGTGTTTTAAATCTTTATTTATTTATTTATGTATTTGTATCATTTTGTTATATTTCTTCGATTTACGGATGATAACGGTACCGTAGAGATGGCGTCTGGTATAGAGCGTTTTCGCTCATGTGGCCAGCAGCTATGCAAATGTAATGGATCAAAAGAAAGTATTAACATAAGAAAACATATTGATCTGCTACACTTTACCAACATGGAGGCCGTTTCATTTTTTCAGTACACCAATATGGCTGTTGAGACGTCATGCATGTGTAACGCCTTATACCACGTGATTTTTTCTGTCCACGTTCCTAGAAACTCCGCGACGATAGCTCCACAAATTAGGTTTAGGTTTTTGTTACACTGAGTTTCAGGGGAATCTTGTTTTTGAGGTGTTCCAGATCACAGAAACGTTATATTTAATTTTTCTTTTCGTACAATGATATAGGGAAACTTTCGTAGGATTTATCCCCCCGAAGACAAAACGAGAAGAGAAAAGTATAACGGCTTGTTAGCTGATGCCTTCAAGCTCTTCCTGTCAGGTAAGTATAATAAAACCGCAGTTCAAATATGAATTATTTCATATATACTTCACAT